GGTCGTTTCAAGGGTTGCTTCTGAAGGAACAGTTCATTTACAAGAAAAGTGCTAACAAACATTTTTATTCAAAATTATTTCGGCTACATTTCTTGTTTGAAACATTTTTTTCTCCGCCGTGCAGATTCTTGGTAAATCGATGTTTTTCGTTTTCCCACTACGAGGGGGGCTTTAGGGGAAGCCCGGGGGTAATAGTGGCAAACTTTTTTGCAGCTCAAAATTGACATTTCCAGCAAAAATTCAGCTTGTTCGTATGATTTTTAGAGGTTGAGTGACATTTTCGTCTCTGACGAAGGGACTATACACGCAAGTTATTGTTTAGTTATAACATGACTAAACTAATTCTGCTTTATACCCTTTAAAGCTCACATTACATACGATTCAAATTTATATTTGCCAAACATTTTCTTCCCAACTTTTTTTAAACGCCCATATAATGTTTTATTTACCTTTTAATGATCAAATATGTATTACAGAGCGAAAGAGCTGTGAGACACGTCGAATCTCATTTTCCCGCCGGTTCTCCCCAGCCCTCCGACCGGGCGGCCCTCAGGGAACGCGAACAAAGAGAATTCGAAATGCTTCGAGCTCAGTACGGCATGGATAATCAGGGAAATTTTAAAGAACAAACGATAACGAATATGCAAAGAGCTGTTTACGCAGGGGAAATGAGCGTGTCTGATTATTATGAAAGAACTTTGGATCTAAGAGCAGCTGAGAGTTGCGGAATAGACGATGGGAGTTCCGTAACGAGAAGTATTGTAAGTATAAATATTTTTTAGTTTAATATTTTAGGTCATCATACCTAATATAGATCGTTCTACTAATAATTGCTTATCATCATTATTACCTATAATACTCACATCAAAAATGTTTAGGGAACACACCTAATATTCCTCTTTTTTTCTTATAAAAACTTAGGTTCAGAAAATAGCGATAAAAAATTGTATATCGGTAATGAGTTCTAAGAGAAAATCAACAGAATGCATCTTCCACGTATATATATATATATATATATATATATATATATATATATATACAGTGTAGGAAAAATTTTATGGTCGGTATGGACCTTACGTGAGATGGAGTGAGAAACAGCTGTTTAAAAAGAGAGAGGTATATTAGGTACGCCCTTTATATCGCCGAATGGAAATATTAAAAAAGGGGAAATTCAACGTTGCCAAACTTATTGGATTTATTTCACCTGTTGTTTTTTTTTGCATTTGAACAATGTTCTAAGATAATCCAATTTGGGCGAAATTGATTTAAATGGCAGCTTACTCTTTTTTTTTTTATTGGGAATATGCCACAAGTTTACTTTACAATAAGTGTAATATAAGATTTTAATTTCCACTTTGGAAATCGTTTTATATACCTAAATAAAATTTATTAATGTTTCGTATTTTAAGTACGATTTCCGAATTAAAAATCTAAACATCAAAATAAGCTTATTTTAAAGTCACATTGTGCCTTATTCCCAATATGAAATAATAAACTGCATACAATAACACCACATTAAAAAATATTCACACACAATAATTTATTTGGCAACGTCGTTCGTCTGGTCAGAATACCGAGTAACGGGTAGTAGAGGTGGGTCGTGGTAATTTTATCGTTAAGAGCGTAAGAGCGATTAATATTTTTTAAATGCATTCATTTTTTTCGAATCCTGATAAAACTAATAAATATTCTTGAAAAATTTAAACGCAGAATGAACCAATACATTATTACCGAGGGCCAAAAGTCCCTGAAAACTTCTATAATGTTTATTTTAATAAGTTATAAGGGCGAAAAAAAAATTAGTGTGATTTTTAATTTCAAATATCTCATTCAAAAAACTTTTTGTTTATTCTAAGGGACTTTCGGCCCTCGGTAATAATGTAATCTTTTATTCTGCATTTAAATTTTTCAAAAATATTTGTTAGTTTTCTCAGGATTCCAAAAAAAAAATGAATGAATTTAAAAATTTAAATTTTTGTAAACAACTAACTATGATTGTTTAAAAGTAGTTTCAAGTAAGAGAGTACCTACATAAACAAACATAATGGCCAAAACATATGGCGTACCATAACAATCACTGAACTACCCTTCAAGTATTTTTGGCCACTCATTGTACTTGTTATTTCTTTAAACGGCCGTAAAATTTGGGAAAGCTGAGAACAAATAATCCAGTGTTTTTTATTTAGATTTGGTCTAAGTCTAAGTCTGTATTATTTAATACCGATGTGGAACGGAAATACACGCCAGTACACCGAAAATATCAAAATACAGAGAGGAGTCCGCCAGGGTTGCGTGCTGTCCCCACTACTTTTCAATGTCTACAGTGATCGGTATTTTAAGAAGCGCTCTCTGACTCAATAGAAGGTATATCTATCTATGAAGAAGTTTTGAATAACTTACGTTTTGCAGACGATACAGTAATAATTACGGATAACAACAATGATTTACAGAACCTAATGCAACGCCTTAATGAACGCTGTCATGAGTACGGACTGAAGATAAATTTAAAGAAAACTAAATGCATGATCATGACTAAATCTGCACAAATATCCAATTGACTATTGAATATACTGCAATTAAGAGTGTTAATAACTATAAATACAGGAACATGGATAACATCAGATGTAGACCAAATCAAAGAAATTAAGACACGTATTGAAATAGCACGTACATCATTTATTAAACTTAAAAAGTTTCTTTGTTGTCGGGATATAAGGTTAGAACTACGCCTGAGAATGCTTCGATGTTACGTGTCCTCTACTCTTCTTTATGGTCTGAAAGCTTGGACACTAAAACAAGTTCATCTGAATAAGTTGGCCGCCTTTGAATTTTGGTGTTACAGAAGAATCCTACGAATATCATGGATTCAAAAAATGTCAAACATTGAAGTAACTAGAAGGATAGGAAATGAGGCAGAAATAATATTAACTATTAAAAGACGAAAACTTGAGTACTTGGGACATGTGATGAGAGGGCAAAAATACGCATTATTACAACTTATTATGCAGGGCAAAATCCGAGAACAGCGAAATGTGGGAAGACGAAGAATATCCTGGCTTAAGAACTTAAGGGAATGGTTTGAATGAAGTAGTGCAGACCTTTTTAGAGCGGCAGTCAACAGAGTCGGCATAGCCATGATGATTTCCAAACCTTCGATAGAAGATGGAACTTAAAGAAGAAGAAGTGAAACGGATTGCCTCTTCTAACTCAGTCATTCTTTTTAACCTGTAATAGGTGAAGTTCTACCTAGTTTTCACGTCTTGGATTGGCCGTTTGGGAACTTTGTTATGTTGTAATTAAGCCTTTCTGAAGATAAGGTACTTTTTTTAATGTTTTTTGCAGAATTGTCGAAAAAAGGACTTTTTTTTATCTATTATCAAATCAGTTTTGACATAACATTCCTGAAGTAATGAATCTAACAGTTTTTCTTGTTGGCGGTTTATATCCAGGAATCCACCCTGCAAACTTTTTAAAATCTGGTTCTTCACCTATACAAAAAGGGATGAAACGAGTCTTTGCATAAGTTTAGTAAATCAATAAGTTTAGTCAAGAAAAAGAAACTGATAAAGATGACTTAAGTCCATTGTGTATTTTTGATGAATTAATTGGACATGACTCATCTAAACATACAACTGTATCGAGAGATATACAAGAAGTAGACATGTATTTGTCTAATAATATATTACCCACAATAAATTTCGAACGGAGATTGGAACTGTCCATTACCGTGGTGGAAAAACCATCGCCATGTATATCCTAACTTAGCCACTATATTCATAAAATATTGTAGAATTGTAACAAAATCTTTTCCTTGTGAACACATGTTTAAAATCTGGTTTAATTTTAAATAAAAGAAGAACACAGTTAACAAGAAAAGTAGAAAAACTTGTTTTTAAATGTCAATTTAGACGGTTCGCGATTTAATAATAACGTGTAATGTAAATGTAAGTACTATTTGTATTGTTTAATTTATTTTTCAAGTTATAATAAATATATCCTTCGTTAGGTTCTTTCACTTCAATACTTATACACATAAACGATAATAGCCAATATGTTTGTGTACTCGCTAATTTGAATCAACTAGTTACAGTTTACGAAAAACGGTTCCGATAAAAATTTAAAAAACGGGAGGACCCACCTCTAGTTTTTTAGGTATATTAGGATCGGAACCAGAGAATATGTAAAATATCTCTGATCGGAACTATTCGTCTCACTAATGGCCAATAGGTGTTAAAAATATTTGAGGAGGGGAGACCAAGGGGAAATATGATTGTTATCTTTGTCTATTCGCTGAAAATATGATTTTATATCTGCGTTAGATATCCTGTTAAATTTTAGCATACCGGCCATAAAATTTTTCCTACACTGTATATATATACAGCGTGTATTTATTATAACCTCTCCGTTCCCTTTAGAAATTAATTGTAACATTTTAGCGATATATATATATATATATATATATATATATATATATATATATATATATATTCATATACAGCGTGTATTTATTATAACCTCTCCGTTCCATTTAGAAATTAATTGTAACATTTTAGCGATGTGACCCCCTCACATATCCGCCTTCAATGCATACTGGTCCCCTGACTTTTGATAGTAAAATTTGGATTAATATCACTTCACCAACGACAGTTATTGCTAGAGACTGTTTGATTTGATGTAAACGTTGCTTCATTCGAAAAAAAAAGAATATATCTTGCCACAAATGGGTTATAACATTTCTTGGATATTACGATTGAATTAAAATAGTCTATCATGATCTCCTGGTCTTAACGGGAACAAATCGAGGCTTGTATAGATATAACTTGTTTTGAATTAAAATTTTTGAAATCGCATCCTTGTTAATAGGATATTACATCGAAGCTGCACTGTTTCACAAAGATTTTTTAGGATGGTTGATTACTGAAATAAATCATTATTTCAAATTCCATTGACTCTTAAATAAAATTTAAAAAATAATAAAAACTATTTAACTGTGGTTTTAGGTACCCAGAGTGAGAGCAATAAGTAATAACGCTACAAATGTAGTACGAACTCTTCTCTGTACTTGTGTGGACCACTATGCTTCGTCTTATGGCGATCGAGGCTGGGGATGCGGGTACAGAAACACCCAAATGCTCATTTCGAGTTTACTCACTCATACAGGTTACAACGAGAAATTGTACAAACTGTGGCAGGATCAAAAACCGCCTCGAAGTTCGGTACCTAGTATATCTAGGATTCAGGGATTAATCGAACAGGCTTGGTCACAGGGTTTTGATATTCAGGTTAGTAATATGTTAAGATGATATACACGTTTACATTATTTAGACTTTATAGTTTGATTTCTGTCAAATTTAAACTTATTTTTATGACTAGAATGACGTATGTGTGGATACCTCCTAAAATGTCTGAAGAGATCATTTTGATACAGACCATCGATTTTTCGTCTATAGACAGTATCTCTTTTAAAGATAAGCGCGTTTAATTTCAAATTATTTATTATAAACGACTACTTTCATCTCTCAATTCGTATCTTCAAACACGTTCATTATCGAAAACGAATTTTAAATGAATTATGGTGTGTGTTTATTGTGTTTGAAATTATAGTTTACATTTGTTTTTGACGTTTCGATTTCTAATCCAGAAATCATTTTCAAAAAAATATAAATTAAGAATTTATTTTGATCAAATTTATATTAAGTTAAATTTCTTAATTTTTTGCAAAGACCGACTTGAATTTTGTTTTGATATATTTGTTATTCTTCATTGCTTTTATAGGGATCTGAACAACTAGAGTGCAGATTAGTAAATACGAGAAAATGGATTGGAGCTACTGAAGTAGTGACGCTGCTCTCCTTCCTTCGAATAAAATGTCAACTAGTAGATTTCCACAAACCGACAGGACCTGGCGGATCACATCCTGAGTTGTTTAACTGGGTCCTCAAATATTTTGAGAGTTCGGTAGGTGGAGAGTTTACACCTCCATTGTATTTACAACATCAAGGTAAGTTACAATCATATTTATGTTATTTTGAAAATGTTTCCCTGTATTTTCATTTAATTTATTCTTCAAAATTGGATATTTTCAAAATATAGCCAAGTAAAATGTATATCTTCAATTAAAACTGTTAGTTCAAAAAATTATTAACGGAGGTCACTTTCCAAATAAACTCGTATTTAATATAGAAATAGAAGTTTTATAATGGTAGTTTATTCGTGATAGTTTTATTTAAAACAAGTTGTAACAATAGATCTGCAATAATAAGACACTAAGATCAATAATAATAATAATTTTGCGCTGCAAAAATATTCTGTAACTGAACGGAAAAGTCTGAACTGCTAGCGTCACTGTTTACTTACACAATAAAGGATATGATAAGCGCAACGCTTATCATAGCAGAGAGCAAAAACCACTTTTAACACTGAAGTTGAAAGAACAAAAATTATCCTCAAAATGAAAAGTGGAAGGTGGATGTTCCCAGAAGATATAACACTTTACGAAGAAAATATTAAGACTAGTTTGGATACACACGACTTAGAGAATATCAGCATCAATGAAATGAACAATAATATTACTCAAATATTGAAAGAAGCTGAAAAGAAATACTCTCCTCGTCCTGAAAACAATAACAAAAAATTAAGCCACAACACAAAACATCTTCTAGAGGAAAGAAGAAAACTTAGGGAAAATCAGGATCATAACCAAAATGAACTAAGAATTTTGAATAAGAAAATTAAAAAGGAAATTAGAAAATATCTGAGACGATACAATAGGATGGAAATAACTAGAGTAACCCATTTTCTATGCCAATGATATTAGCATTATGTCTCGCAGAACACAAGAGGCGGCATAAGTATGTTCACAATTAAAAACAGGGGCAGAAGAGACCGGACTAGAAATAAATATTCAAAAGACAAAAAGCTAACACAGGCAACAGAAACGAAAGCTGGAAGTCTTCGAAAGAAATGTCATAAGGAAGATATTAACGAAAACGGAGTGTCCAGATCCAGGCACAACCATAAACTCTACCAACTGATCAAAGAGGCACCGATCTCAAAATTCGTTAAACATTATAGTCTTCGATGGACTGGTCATATAGTGAGAATGGAGACCGAAAGATTGCCAAAAAGAGGTGGTAAAATTTAGGGCGCAAGACCAAAAAGAAGGCCACAGAAAAGGTGGGAGAATTAAGTGGCAGCGGACGCGCAAAATTTGCTAGACGCGAGAACCTGTAGAAGATCGGCGCGGGACCGGCAGGGTTGGAGGCATAGTTTGGAGGAGGCCAAAGCTCGATTTGGGCTGTAACGCCATTGTATTCAGCACACGTTTGGATTTAGAGATTTGTTAAAGACTTAACAACCTTCAACTAATTTTTTTCTCCAAGAAAGTTATTTGTGATGTTAAATGATTCTTCCATATCACAAACTAATTCAACGTAAAACTGTTCACGAATCGAATTCCTTGATATCTAGAAGTATATTTTGCTTTATTAATTAGTTTTATTAGTTCATGTTTTACGGGCCATATTGCATTCTCAGACAGCACCGACTAGATCTTAGGGATCACTGTTCTCTTGATTCTATTATAGCATATTTGAAGCTCCTACCATCACAATCGTTTGAGAAGTAGGTTACAGCTATGTTCTTTGTATGTAATTTTCTCGTAGGGAGCACTTCTGTACCTCGGTCCGCTTGGCAGAATTGCTCGTAACAGCTTTCTCTCTCTCTCTCTCTCTCTCTCTCTCTCTCTCTCTCTCTCTCTCTCTCTCTCTCTCTCTCTCTCTCTCTCTCTCTCTCTCTCTCTCTCTCTCTCTCTCTCTCGAGAAGTAAAGGGAACTATGATGACCTTGTTAGTGTGAGCACTCTGCTCCCTCATATTCCCGTGCTTTCTTCTTGGACCACGGGCTAAGCACTGTCGATATTATTAAGTTTATTGCTGTTTTCTATAAAACTACACAAATTGTTATCTAATGTTGGTTTTTGTCCTAATGTGAGATCTCTTTTCGAAGTAGTTTTGTTTGTTTTTGAGTTCTTCTTAGGTGGTGCCTGCAGTAGACAATTCCAACGCAACGGCTATGTAGGGTTGGGCAGGCACAATACATCTTTAACTTACGTGTTGATATTCCCTTGGTCTCGTGGCAGTAGTCCGCCTATGTTAAACTCCACCATTACGTCAAATTGAAACCGCGCGATGGATAGATAAGGTCACAAATGTAGCCATTTTTGAAAATTTTAAATGTAAATAGTTATAAAACACATATATTTAAAAAACTCATATTTTAATAGGCTTGCTGTCTTTGTTTCTAATAACTATTTCAAATATTTTTTCAGGCCATAGTCGGACGATAATGGGTATAGAGATTCATAGAGATGGTAGTTTAATATTATTAGTCCTTGATCCAAGTCATTCGCCGTTACAAATGGCGCAGCTCGGAGATACGAATAGTGCCTCGACGGCCCTAAGATTGTTGAGGAAGAACGAATCTGCGATGAAAGCTAGACAATACCAAATAGTTGCGGTATTAGGGATGATCGAAGCCGATTACCAATATCAGGTATGTTATAATCCACTTATACAAATGAATTAATAAATAATGGCAAATTAGAAGCATGTGAGCTAAGCTAAAATCATGGAGAGTATACCTTTGTGGTCGGTGAAATATTATTGTAGCGGTCTTAACTTTCTGTCACTTACCAACGATGCTTCTCTAATGTCTGCGTTATTTAAATGTCTTATTTCATTGCACTAAAATACAGTCAGTTAAAACGAAACCATGTCAGTCTCTTGTGGGGATATAGCTTCAGCTATATCCCCACACCAATCAACTCCCCCAACACCCCCCAACCAACCTATCAGTTGGTTTATGACTTAATTTATTAAGAAGATTGATATGGGTAATTTCTCTGCAATCATTCCTTACACCATTGTTTGCGTTTCTTCCGTCTGTTTTACGTTTCCCAAAAATTACAAAAAATAAGGAGAGACAGAGTAGATCATCTTCTGGAGAATCGATGGTGATCTGACAAACTTGTCAGGTTGAATAGTGTGTGTGCTCCTTATACCTGATAGGGGTAAAGTTTGTTTAACAGAAAATCGTGGACTTCAATTAGTGCTGTCGTAAATATTATTAAATTTATCTGACTTCGCCCATTGTTAAGACCTTGTACCTCAGGTAAACCATTTTTACCTGAAACCGGGCCTTTTATACTATTATCGGTTAACCCAGGATTTTTATAGTCGATACTAATTGAAGTCAACCATTTACTGCTAAACAAACTTTACCTGTTAGATATAAATGAGTGAGTGGCTGGCCTTACACTAATAAACGTTGACAGTGGCGTATATTGTTTTAATTATGTGAAATAAGGTTGCGTTTGTTGCCTTTTTTGTAGAGTGGGGGTATATTTATATTGCATAATCGGACTTTCTTCAAAACTAATCTGTTGTTTTCTTCTGTTTCAGCAAAGTAAAATAATCCGTGGTTGCAGAATACCACAAGATCGGTGAGAATGGCATGACGCCATTAGGAGTCTTCAATCAAATTTATAGTGTTAAATTATTACGAGATCTAGTCACTTAATTCATCACTTCTTTTCTTCTTGAAGTACACGTTTGGATCGTTATGTGTTACGGAGTTTTGCAAATATATCAATCGAGATTTTTGGGATCAAAAGGTCTTGAATGAGTAAAAGTATTTCCAAAATGAACTATTCAATTTGCGACAGCGGTTTCGTAGCAAAGTATCTTTAGCAAGTTATATAAACAGTATATCTATTAATCTTATTTTCGTGTCTACAGCCTTAGAATGAAGAATAAGGTCAAAACATTGAGACTATTAAAAACATTTATATCTTGGCACAATATTTTATTAGAAAATATACATATATACGTCATAAAAAATATTAGAAATATAATAATTATAAAATTTAAAATCACTGAAAAGATATTGTTACGTCAATAAATTTAAACCTCGTGAAATTGGCAATTCATAGTCGTCATAATTTTAATATAAATGGTAATATATATTCGTCTGCTTACAGGTAAAACATGATAAATGCAGTTTTATACAAAATTCAGTTAGAAATGTAGTTATGTGTAATTTTTAAAGTAGTATCTACTGGTAAAGCCGAATAAGTGATACAATATACCGTTACAAAAATAATGCTGTTTGTAAAAGTTGTAAGTAGGGGAGAATGGGTTACAGTGAACCACTTTTTATTTGGAGTGGTGTAACTCAGGAAAAAATATGCATATATGTCTGAAATTTGGATGATGAATGCTATAAGGTACGAACTTCTGCTCTCATAAGTGAAACATGATATAACCAGATGTTTGGTACTAGTTAAAATATATATTTTTCAAAGCGTCACTTGGTTCAGTGTGCCCCCGTCCTTGTGAACAGTGAACCAGGCTATGGGTAACAATGAACCAAATGGTGGTACAGAGAATCAGCAGGTTTCTTGGAGAAAAGAAAACGCATGATATAGCAAAACCTTTGATAACTCACTACTAGTACAAACTAGCGTATATCTATTTGAGTAAAATTTAATTTGAATGAATAGAATGACTGTTGTCGTTTAGTATTCCCACAAATAGTTGGTTTTGGTAATATCAATTTTACGTCTGACAGTGCAACCGGAGATACGTCTAAAACGTCTGGCAAACGGAATGTGTTTTCCATTTTATAGTTTCTTCTTAAAAAACTTACTTCTACTTCTTGTTCCTTGGCCTCTTGTAATACCTTAGCAACGTAATAGACTTTACCATTCTTCCCATTGAATTCAACCAACACATAGTCTCCTTCACTGGGTAATTTTTCTAATGGATTAAAAGAGTCGGAGGTCATAATATTCTCCTCATCACCGCTTTCATAATAGTCTTCTACCTCAGAATGAACACTGAACGTATCTTCTTCATCTGTTGTATCTTCTGGTTCTTGAAACACTTTTTTCTTTATGGGATGCGCTTTCTTCTTTCTCTGCTTTTCTGCTTCGCGCTCCTCAATTTCCATTTTTTCTGGGGTGTCCGTGGCTATCATAGATTTACCCTTTCGTCTTGGTTTTCTGGTATTTTTTCTCGGCCCAGCCTTTGGCAGCCCTCGAAATTGATCCGGAGTTACAAATTCCAAAGATATTTCAGCCTCAGAGTCAGGAGTTCTACTTCTACTATGTTCGGCTCCGACTGCCAGTGGATTTTCTGAATTGAAGATTTGGCCATCTGGAGTATTCCCATTATTTTCAGTAATGGGCCTGTTAGTAACTTCACTTGGCAAGAAGTCTATGTCGGTAAAAACATTTCTATCGTACGGGAAGATGCCGGTATTCTTAAAGGAACTACAAATATTTGACGGAGTCATTGCCTTCATATGTGCATCCCCAACGCAAGCAGCTACCTCATAAATTGTTAGAGGTTTTCCTGGATTCCGCATCATCCAACTGTCTACAGCTGCATTGTAAGCAGTTTTGAAAGGTTTATAAAGGCAAACGTCTAAGGGTTGCATCTTTCCGGTAGAATGAGGCGGAACTGTTAATATTGTCACACCATTTTCCTTTGCCAATTCAATGGCTTTTATGCAAATATGAGCTTCAAAGTTGTCCATTATCAGTAAGCTGGGGTTTTCTTTGCTAGTGTTTGAGAATTTAATAAAGTGTTCCATCGTGTCTACAAATAGTGTGCTATTCATCCACCCAGACTGTGTCGCCAATCCTAACGTTCCGGTGGGAGCCCCATTTGTCATGTGATGCTTAAAATGGACACGAGGAAAAATCATGACTGGTGGTAAAAAATTGCCGGAAGCATTGACGATACAACAGGTTGTTACTAATGTTCCCTTTTCACCACTAGTGACTTTGCTGACCTGTTTTTGTCCTTTCGCTGCGAGCACCTTTTGAGATTTTTGCACGGTCAGGGAACTAGTTTCGTCAAGATTATATATCCTAGTCCCATCAGCAAATTCGGGCTTACGTAACATAACTTCTTGTAACTTATCATAAAATATGTTCACATTATGTCGGTTAAATGACGTAGCTCGGGACAGGCTACATCCTTCAGGTGTCCTAAGGCTTAACCGGGATGTCGCTTTCTAAAATTGTATAGCCATTCCATGCCAGCAAGCTTTCGATCATTCCATTTTTCAGGAATTTTGACGTTGTTGACTATTGCCATTTCGTAGGCCAGCTGGCGACATTCCAGCAGTGTTAACCCGTAAAACATTTGGCTACATTTTACAATATAATTGGCCAGTGCTTCTTCCTGGATGGCTGTGAAAATTTTATTCACTTCATAATTAGGAGTTAGCCGTATTGGTTCATCTGTATTTTTAAATTTTTGCCAATATCTTCTAACAGTCGGATAAGGAATCCCTTTAAGTTTTGCCACACTTCTTATGCTTTGATTTTCTCTCGATATGAGGTCTAAAGCACTTCGCATCTGCTCTTCACTGTGCATGCCAATGTTTGTTTTTCTAACTCGGTTGCGTGGCATTTTGAATCTGAAACAATAAATAAACGTAATCATAAACCAAATTATGATTAATGAAATTAAATGCATACATTCTAAGGGCCGGTTGTTCGAACGCTATTCAAAAATGATCATTACCAAATATTTAATTACTGTCACCAACTGTCAATGTCAATTTTTATTGGGTTGCTGAAAACATAATCGATTACCATTATGAAATTAGTTAATCAATTATGTTAATAATTGTTATGTTAATTGATTCACTAATCTCATAATTGTACTCAATTTATTATGTTTTCAGCAACCCAATTAAAGTTGACATTGACAGTTGGTGACAGTAATTAAATATTTGATAATAATCATTGTTGATTAGCGTTCGAACAACCGGCCTTGTATAACATTTGCACAGTAAACCATTATGGGTTACAGTGAACCAGGTTCAGTGTAACCCATTCGTCAATGGTTCGCTGTTACCCACCGCCACCTATTTAACTAAAAAATTTATTTAAACAAAAATAAACTACATTGATTTGAAAGACAAGATAAACAGTATGTACAAAGACCTATTAAGTAGCTTGGAACTATAATTGATCTGAATTTACCGCCAGGCTTGGAACAAAACAAATAAATACAACAATGTGAAAAAAAGCATTCGACTTACCGTTCAGCAGATATCGAAATAAACATCTACACACTATGTTAGCTTGATGCGAACTAAAGTAGTAAGGTGTCGCGTAAAACCAGCAGATATTTGAAGAATAGAGTTGGGCGATAAAGTGCATAGGCAAAGAGTGGGGGCTGCTGGTTCACTGTGTAACATGGTTCACTGTGACCCAAGTTCCCCTACATATATTTCAAAATAATATACCAGTTAAAAATAATAAATTTACTTATTGCAGAATGTAGAAAATTGTGTACAGGCAAAAAATTATAAATATGACTATAACTTTTTACTTTTAGCACTAAAAGCAAAATATTGGGAAGTACTTTCAGAAAAAACATTATATAGGCATTTATTAATTTGAGCTTTGATATTATAAACAGGAATAACGTAGTAAATACACTTAATATATTTTTCTTTGTTTATATTCTACTCGACTTCAAAATTTTTGTTCAACGAAAACAAAATAAATGCATTTATTCGGTTTTGCTGGTAGGAATTTGCAGCAGTTGACGTAATTATTTGGCTTTGTCAATGAAAGCACGCCCGATAACCGTTAATAAAAGTGGTTTTACTGTGTATAATAAGTCTCTGAACTGTTTTGTTTTGTGTTAAACATGTTTTCAAGGGGAAGAAGATTAGTTGATATGGTAAACACGTCCAAATTATCCCAAGGTACGTAATTTATAATTACTATTGTTGTTGTTAGTATTGCTTTTTTGAGGTTATGTGTTACTTAATTTTTAACAACTAACTGTTATTATAGAGTAATTAATGTAGATCGAAAACTTGAATTGTTTAGTAAAAAATCAATCAAGTTTATATTTTTCTAAAACCTTTTTTGTTAGTTTATAAATATGTAAAGTTAAAAAGTTATACCTAATTTGGCCGCTAATTGTTTATTAATTGTTTCAACAATAAAAGCTGTTTTGTATAAACATTTTTAAAAATATCGGGGAATTCATCATTTTACATTGATTAAAAATGTTTCTATTTTGTTGTTGATTATGCTGAATCCGAATTCTACTTTACACTTGGAAAATTATTTTTTTAAGTCCTTATATAATATTCTGCGTAACTTGTTTATTATCAATTTTACGAAAAAAAGTTAGTCTTCATAAAATGCTCTGCATGGTCTAAAATCTAGGATGAAAATATCAGATATACAATTTTATCCATTTTATACGAGGTATGTCAAAAAATATGAATTTCGCACGAGAGTAAAGTAATTTTTATTATGAAACGTTGTTTAGAATTTAAAACTATGTTTTAATATGCAACTACATCCTTGTAATTGGAAAACAAAATTTGCAATTTTTTTTAAATTACGGATACCCGACATCATTTTATTACTATGTGATAATTATAGGAAGTTTGTTCATGTTCACAAAATAAGTGGGCTAAATACAATAAATATCGGATTCAGAAGCAAAACAAAAATACTATTACTGATGTTAGGTACTTGTAGAAGGGGAGTTTTGTTTAACTTGATTTTCTTTTTCAGAAGCTTTGGATGATAATCCTTGTTGTTCTAAGGACCTAACGGAATTAGAGCGGATGTTTGACAGCGATGACTCTGATAAAGATCCCACCTACTATCCTCTCTCGGAGTCTCTAACCCAACCTAAAAATTTATTTGGAGAGCAATGGGACAGCAATAAAAAATATGGAGATGATGAAAATTGTATGCAGGTTTATGAAGAAGGCGAGAATAATATTTGCAGAGTGGATCAGTCGGAATATGATATGGCGGAGGAGGAGCCAGAAATC